TGCTGCCACCCGTATCTCAAAAGTCCAAGAAAAAATAAAAGCAAAATCCTTCTTTAGTACATTACTCTTTACTGAGGATAGCTAATAAATATTTTGAAAGAACCAACCAGCCATAGTATGTATGGATATAAGAAACAGTGCATCAAGATGGCACTAAATGTAACCTCATGGTCTCCTTGTATCTGCCCTAACCACCAGCTGCTTTTCTTATCTTGCTTTTAGATAAAAGGGGCTGTGTTAACACTCATTTGAGCAGAAGGGACTATATCTGTCTTACTGTGATGGTATCTGTAGGATGGAAAGTGTCAGTCATCCTGAATTCAAGTCCTAGCTCTGCTTATAGCTGCTTGACCTAAGAAAGTCATAATATCTCTAGGTAGATATCTCCTCACCTGTAAAATAGAAAACTATCTGCCTCACCTTTCCCATGGCCTGATGCGACATGGTGAAAGCACTTTGAAGCACCATTTAGATGTGCTTTAACCTTAAGAGGAGGGAAAGAAATAACTTTCTAATTTAGGCTTCCAAAATTTTCCTCACTAAGACTGATGAAACACTTCAGTAGGAGAATATAAAGGGGTAAATCCTTTAAATCTTCTTCAATATCTTCAAGATAATAATTAAGGTTAAAAGCTAAAGAATTGAGACTTCTCACCAAGATGGAATAAAAGAGACTGGAAATTTCCCTCACACGTGAAACAAACAGACAAAAGGAAAAGAAAAAAATGTATTTAAAAAAAAAAAACAATTTTCAAGATACCTTACATCAAGCAATGAGGAGATTCCTTGAGAGACAGGAAACAGACGTAGCGAGCCCGAGGATTGTTCTTACTGCTGGAGACTTCGCAGGCCCTGGGCAGGAAGAAGGAAGCCTTGTGGCGATGGCGGGACCCCATGGGTTGGGCAGACAGAGCTGCGAGTCTAAGAGACCAAGGTGACCAGAGGTCAGAGGACAGAGTACCAGAGATGTGAGCAACACGGAGAGAGCACTCCGGAGATCTGGCGAGGGTTCCCCTCATCCAGCCGGGTGCTAAGCAGTGCATGCATCTGAGCGAACTACCTGAAGCTGAGAGAAAACCACCCAGAAGGATTAACGGGTGCTACACCAGGCTTGGAAGAGTGCCTTTTTCGACCAACCAGACTGGAAAAGCTCTTAATTCACAAGGTACTTGGTAGAGTACTTTGAAGAGTCTTGCCTCCACAATGGGGAATAATTGGTTGTACACTAAACACTGCTCTGGTCCAACCCAACAGATCTTTTTTTTTTTTTTCAAGTTTTTATTTAAATTCCAGTTAGTTAACATACAGTGCAACACTAGTGTTCGGTGTAGAATTTAGTGATTCCTCACTCACATACATCACCTGGTGCTCTTCCCAACAAGTGCCTTCCTTAACACAAGTGCTGTCATGCATCCCCCCACCCCCCTCCCCTCTGGTACCCATCAGTTTGTTCTCTATAATTAAGAGTCTGTTCCTTGGTTTGCCTTTCTTTTTTTCCCCCTAGGTTGATTTATTTTGTTTCTTAAATTACACAGATGAGTGAAATCATACGGTATATGTCTTTCTCTGACTTTTTTCACTTAGCATAATACACTCTAGCTCCAGACACATTGTTGCAAATTGCAAGATTTCATTCTTTTTCATGGCTGAGTAATATTCCATTATATATGTGTGTGTGTGTGTGTGTGTGTGTGAGAGAGAGATATGTATATATATCTCACATCTTTTTTAAAGATTTTATTTATTTATTTGAGAGAGAGAGAGAGCACAAGCAGGGAGAGGAGCAAAGGGAGGGAGAAGCAGACTCCCCGCTGAGCAGGGAGCCCGAAACAGGGCGGCTCATTCCCAGGACCCTGGAATCATGACCTGAACCGAAGGCAGACTCTTAACCGACTGAGCCACCCAGGCACCCCGATACCACATCTTCTTTATCAATTCCATAGTCAGTAGACATTTGGGATCTTTTTATAATTTGGCTATTGTTAATAATGCTGCTATAAACATTGGAGTGCATGTACCTCTTCAAATCAGTAATTTTGTATCCTTCGGGTGAATACCTAGTAGTGCAATTGCTGGATCATAGGGTATAGCTCTATTTTTAACTTTTTGAGGAACCTCCATACTATTCTCCAGAGTGGCTGTACCAGTTTGCATTCCCACCAACAGTGTAGGCGAGGGTTCCCCTTTCTCTGCATCCTCACCAATACCTGTTAAAAGTTTCCTGTGTTGTTAATTTTAGCCATTCTGACTGGTTTGAGGTAATACCTCATTGTAGTTTGATTTCTGTTTCCCTGAGGATGAGTGATGATGAGCATCTTTTAGTGTGTCTGTTATCCATCCAGATGGCTTCGATAGTCTTTGGAAAAATGTCTATTCGTGTCTTCTGCTTCTGGATTATTTTTTTGGGTATTGATTTTGACAAGTTTTTTATATATTTTGGATACTAATCCTTTATCAGATATGTCATTTGCAAATATCTTCTTCCATTCTGTAGGTTGCCTTTTAGTTTTGTTGATTGCTTCTCTTACTGTGCAGAAACTTTTTATTTTGATGAAGTCCTGATAGTTTATTTTTGCTTTTGTTTTCCTTGCCTCAGGAGACATATCTAGTAAGAAGTTACTACAGTTGATGTCAAAGTGGTTACTGCCTGTGTTGTCCTCTAGGATTTTAATGGTTTACTGTCTCACATTTAGGTCTTTCATTCATTTTGAATTTATTTTTGTGTATGGTATAAGAAAGTGGTCCAGTTTCATTCTTCTGCATGTCGCTGTCCAGTGTCCCAACACCATTTGTTGAAGAGACTGTCTTTGTTCCATTAGATATTCTTTCTTACTTTGTTGAAGATTAATTGCCTATATAGTTGTGGGTTCACTTCTGGGTTTCCTATTCTGTTCCATTGATCTATGTGTCTGTTTTTCTGCCAGTACCACACTGTTTTGATCACTACAGCTTTGTAATATAACTTGAAGTCCAGAATTGCAATGCTTCCAGGTTTGCTTTGCTTTTTCAGGATTGCTTTGGCTATTTGGGATCTTTTGTCATTCCATACAAATTTTAGGCTTGTTCTAGCTATGAAAAATGCTGATATTTTGATAGGGATTGCATTAAATGTGTAGATTGCTTTGGGTAATACAGACATTTTAACAATATTTGTTCTTCCAGTCCATGAGCATGGAATGTTTTTCCATTTCCTTGTGTCATCTTTAATTTCTTTCATCAGTGCATTACAGTTTTCATAGTAGAGATCTTTTACCTCTTCGGTTAGGTTTATTCCTAGGTATCTTATGGCTTTTGATGCAATTATAAATGGGATCGATTCCTTGATTTCTCTTTCTGCTGCTTCATTATTGGTGTATAGAAATGCAACAGATTTCTGTATGTTGATTTTGTATCCTGCAACTTTACTGAATTTGTATATCAGTTCTAGCAATTTTTTGGTCAGCCCAACAAGGTTTAAAATCAAAATCTGAAAGGATCAAGTTGTTTCCAAGTAACTAAATTGCATTCCAGAACAAAGCTCAAGAATATTTATAGGAATACAAAAATAACTAACACCCAACACAGTCAAAATGATGATGCCTGGCATCCAATAAACACTACCAAACGTGCAAAGAAACACCAGATGTTAGAATTTACAAAGGATGTTAAAAGTTATAATTGTATTTCAGATATTCAAAACCTTAGAGACATAGATTTTTTTAAAGATTCAAATCAAATGTCTAGAGATGAAAACTATAATGCCTGAACTGAAAGATATCCAGGCTGAGATTAACAGTGTATCCAAACAGTAGAATACTACTCAGCAATGAAAATGGATGAATGATGGCTACAACATTGATGAATCTCAAAATAACTGAGCTGAGTGAAAGAATCCAGACAAAAAAGATTGCATGCTGTATAAATCCTTTTATATGAAATTCTAGAGTATGCAAAATAATCTATAGTTAGAGAAATGTAGGATCAATGAGTACTAGGTAGGGGGGCAGGAGGATGGAATTCATCCCCAAGGAGCACAAGGACACTTTTGAGGGTGATAGTTATGTTCACTATTTTGATTTTCATGATGGTTTCACAGGTATACAGACATAGATGTCAAAACTTACCGTTTGTACACTTTAAATATATACAGTTTATTAAATGTTGATTATAATTCAGCAAAGCTTTAGTTTTTAAAAACTAAAGAGATAAGCATGTATTTAAAAAAAAAACACTGCACAACTTGGGACATGGAAGATTTATAAATATAACCACATTTTTTAATATTTAAATTTTTGTAAATTTTAAAGAATGGTAAAATATTTAAATCTGTAATTTTTTTACATCTAAGTCTATAGTGTCTACCGACTACCTCTGTTGTATAGTATCTATAGTATCTAGTATAGTAACTAAAATTTGGTTTGGGAGCTCTTTCTTTTTTTAATGGTGCATTGGAAAATTTCCCCCCTATTGTTCAGAACTACGTATTTTCATGGTTCTTTTTAACTAAAAACAAAAACCCTAAGAGCCAGAAGGCACAAAGTAAATTTCAACTCCCACTTTTTCCAAAGCGTACTTTACAAATTAAGAAAATTCTACACATTTTTCTTAACCATAAGTGAGTGACTGTACACTTACTCCCCAGTATCCTTCTCTGTTTGATACATGGTCTAGGCTGAAAAACTCTGTGAGGGTCTGCTTAAGGCTCAAGTGCTTTGGGTGCCTGGGTGGCTCAGATGGTTGGGCGTCTGCCTTCGGCTCAGGTCATGATCCCAGGGTCCTGGGATCGAGCCCCGCATCGGGCTCCCTGCTCCTTGGGAGCCTGCTTCTCCCTCTGCCTCTATCTCTCTGTCTCTCTCTATTTAATGAATAAAATCTTTAAAAAAAAAAAGACTCAAGTGCTTTAATTCCTGTTGACCTGCTTCATTAGAGATACAGTTGTGTGATGCATGCTCATTGTATCTGGGAGTGAACTAATTTATGTCTTTTCTTGTTCCCAACTTGTCTGTCCTGACTTCGCCCAGTTGGACGCTGACCGAGACGAGGATGAGGTGTTCTATGACATCAGCCTGGCAGTTGACAGCAAGTTGTTTCCAAACAAAGAAGCTGCAGCAGGTAAGTGTCTGTGTCCTTCGGGCCCCAGTCCCGCCTGACCACCTGCCAAATGTCTGGAGTTCTATAGTCATGTCAGAGCACAACAATCCGCTGTAAGGTTTTAAGGATGATGCTGTCCTCAGAGCTTTACACTTCCTGGTTTAAAAATAAAGGTACAAAACAAAATGGGAAAGAAGGGCTCTCCATCTGGCCCTTACAGGTAATGCTTGTCCTCCAGTCGTTATCCTTGTAAATTAGCAGGCAGTCCCAACGTAACATAGGACCTATGTGACTATAATTGAAAAAAACAAATCTAGCCCATTCATTGTGCAACAATTAAAAGTTACAGTTCCTCCGGGACTCCTTAACTCATACTTGTCTCTGCCTCGCCCCCTTGGGAAAAGCCTCCCCTTCTGTCAGATGGCTACTCTTATCTCAACCCACAGCTCCCATTTTGGCTCTGCACCTTCCCTTCCTAAGCACTCACCCCTAGAAGTTTGACGTGGTGATAGTGCGGGGCTATCACACACCCTTCTGTAGGCAGTACTCACAGTTCTGTTCTTGACCCTTTTCTCACTCTCTTTGACTCTCTGACTCTGGTCAACTCATTGTCCCTCCATGGTCTCAACTATCAGTTCCATGTGGGTGACTCTCAAATCTTCGTCCCAGTTCTGACCTTTCTTCTCAGTAATGGCCTCAGTGGGTAAAGACCAAAAAAGCTCTGAGCTGTAAAGAAAAAAGCTAAACACTTACAATGTTTAACCATATTTGATTTGAAGCACCCTAAGAAAGAAAGCACCCTAAGAGAGGCAGAATAAAAAGAAAGGCAAGGATGTAGTCTTTCTGGGCAGCCTCACCGAGCACAGATAACAGTGTAAACTCACCTGCCTGGCTTTCCAGTGATAGAGTAAGAGGGCCTACTGCGGGGAAAGCTGGAATACTGAGAAGCATGTACGATCATATAAACCTGGGTGCTGCTGCTCTGGAAAATGCTATGACACCTGTTCTTCATAAGTCAATCTTTTATTTAGAACATTTACTTAGACCTCTAACAACAAATATCTAACTGCTAGGTGTCCTCAGTTTGCTAAGACAGTGGAGTGGAAAAGCTGATTTAAGCTGCCCCTTGGTTTTTTTTATTTATTTTTTTAAATTTTAATTCCAGTATAGTTAACATACAGTGTGATATTAGTATCAGTGTAAAATAGAGAGATTCAGTAATTCTGTACATTACTCGGAGCTCATCATGATAAGTGTGCTCTTAATCCCCTTCACCTTTTGCACCCATCCCCCCACCCACCTTTCCTCTGGTAACCTTCAGTTTGTTCTCTATGCTTAAGGGTCTGTTTATTGGTTTGTCTCTCTTTTTCTTCTTTGTTCATTTGTTTTGTTTCTTAAATTCCACATGTGAGTGAAATCGTATGGCATTTGTCTTTCTCTAACTGACTTATTTCACTTAGCATTATGCTCTCTAGATCCATCCATGTTGCTGCAAAGGGCAAGATTTCATTCTTTTTTTATGGTTGAATAATACTGCATTGTACATACATACCACATCTTTACCCATTCATCTGTCAATGGACACCTGGGCTGCTTCCCTAATTTGGCTATTGTACATAATGCAGCAGTAAACATAGGGGTGCATATATCTTTTCAAATTAGTGGTTCTGTATTCTTGGAGTAAATACCCAGTAGTGGATGATATGGTAGTTCTATTTTTAATTTTTTGAGGACCCTCCATGCTGTTTTCCACAGTGGCTGCAGCAGTTTGCATTCCCACCAACAGTGCACAAGGGCTCCTTTTTCTCCACGTCTTCTAAGCGGCCTTCTTTAGAACACTTGACACTGTACTTTGTGGCTCTGTAGTGGCATTTCTCCAAGGTGGCCTCATCCTGCAGTGGCGTGGCTGAGTTAGCTTCTGTGCTAGTCGGTAAACTGCCTAACGGCAGGTGCTGTGTGCTCAGCGTGCATAGCCCCTCCCCGTAGCAGAGGCTTCCACGGGCCTCGTCTTTCCTCTCTATACCTCCAGACTTCTGAAGAGAGGAGTCTGCTCACAGCCTCAGCTCCCAGGAGCTCCCCTCCATGCCTCAGAGCCCTGAAAGCTGAGTCCTGTTCCAGCCTTAAAATAAGCCTGTTCTATCTATAACAGCCCTCGGTTGATGGAGTGAGCAAGGGAGGGACTGTAGTAAACCGGACGCACACCATGCCTCCCTTACAGGAGGCAGCCACTTCGAAGCCCCATGCTATTGCTGCTGTTAAAGAATGGGCCAGTCATTGCTGGATCTTTCTTTCAAGAGAAAACAGAAGCCTGCATCTGTGGGTGAAACCTCCAGGCTTGTAAAGGTTGCCGACTCACCCAGTTAAACGAGCCATGTCCGTGGCCACTGCTCTGTGAATTGTCAGCCCCCAGGTTTTGTCCCTCTACTCTTCCCTTCTCTCTGGACCCTCTCTTTGCAGAATCTCACCTACCCCACAGCTCCCATATCACCTCCATGCGAATGGCTTTCCACTCTTCTTTTAAATTTTTTAAATAAAAATTGTATATATTTAAGATGTGCATCATGATGATCTAGCAGGCATATACATAGTGGAAGGACTACTACAATTAAGCTAATTAATATATCTTCTCTTCACCTAGTCACCATTTTTCTCTGTGTAAGGAGAGCGCCCGAAATATATTCTCTTAGCAAATTTCTAGCACTTAATACAGTGTTATTAACTACAGTCATCAGGCTGTACATTATATCCCTAGATTTACTCATCCCACGTAACTGCAACTTTGTACCCTTTGGCCAACATCTCCCATATCCCCCACCTGCCTGTGCCATGGTAACCATTGCCCCGCTCTCTGCTTCATGTATTTGTTTATAGATTCCACCTTCTCAGTGAGATCAGGCAGTTTTTCTCTATTAAGGGAGCCAGGCAAAAATGTCCCTATCCTCACGGCCCACGCCAGTCGTCATTCCTCAAGGACACCTTGGGAGTGCAGTCCCTGTTCTTTATCCTCACTGCACTCGTCAGGGCTTTGGCATTCTTTCTGGGCCTTTTACCTCATCCCTGGTCTCTTACTTCATCCCCAGCCTCTCCCATCTGTTCTGAATCATGTTGCTGCCATAGAGCTCCTCATCCAATGCAGCTCTGACCACCCTTCCTCCTGGATAAAACGAAACAAAGCAAAACCTTCAATGACTTCCCTGCAGGCTGAGCACCAGTGTCCTTAGCATGACAGAAATACCCTTAGCTTTGCTGCAGTGGTCCTCCTCCTGCCCCAGCATCTCCTCCCCCCACCCCCGACACCCCACTGGCTTCCTCCAGCTCCTTGGATGTCTCAAGCACCTCCCTGCCTCTGGCCATTTGCACAAGTTACTTGGTATCTCTGCCCCCCCTCCCCCGCTCCCATGTGCATCCTCTTTACTCTCTCACCCCCTAGATCCTCCTTCACCCAGCCGGATCCTATTTTGCATCTCAGTTTAAATGTGATTTTCCTCAGGAGGCGTTCTCAGCCTCCATCCCAGACTACTACTACTACTCCCTCCCCTGTCATGGAGTAACTGGAAAATCACTCCTGCCCTGCTCACCCCGGACAGTTCCAACACCAGATTCCTTGAGAAGCTCATCTTCTAGTCCCGAATACCATCCGGGTATTTTTCCAAAGAAATGCAATGCTCTTCAAAGGAATTCTAATGCAAACTGTTACTAACACTTTCCATGTCTGTTGGAATAAGAGCTGGGCTCTCCGAGCCTGATGCCTGAGGCACTTAGGAGGAATTTCATGTTTGTGAAGTGAATGGAGAAGATCAAGATTTGCAAAAGCAAAACGTGTAGGTCCTTTTACTCGTTTTTCAGTCATTCAGCATGTATGTATCAAATGCATAGAATTTCTAAGTATTGTTCTTAAATTTAGAGATGAAATACGACACCACCTAAAGCTGTTTACAGTTGAGCAGAAGAGACAGCACAAGGGAGAGCCTGCCTTCCTCAGAGGATGCAAATGATATGTTAGGGGAGCTTTATCTACTGATGCCCTTCACTGCCCAAGGAGCCCTGCCTTGCTGGAGCGCCCCTCTATTTAGGACGCCAAGTGAGAGGAGGACCTTCCTAAAACTTCAGATTAAAGATCCACAAGGAGGAGAAAAGTCTGTAACATTGCCCCAGAAAGCAATATGGTTAGCCTTCCAGTACGTCTTAAGCCAATTTGTATCATCTTCCCTCTTAAATTTAGGGAGACAACCTGAAAAGAATCTTCTGAAGACCATTCTACATCTGAAACGGGTGACGCTGAGTGTTCCCTGGGGGATTCTATTTGAGCTCTGTATCTATAGAAAGAATAGTTTTAAATCTGAAAGAAATTGAGAAATTCAAAATAGGGAGAAGTGAAAGCCGTACTATCACTTTTACAAAATGCCCTAATTGGGCACCTGGGTGGCTCCGTCGTTAAGCATCTGCCTTCGGCTCAGGTCATGAGCCCAGTGTCCTGGGATCGAGCCCCGCATCGGGCTCCCTGCTCTGCTGGATGGCTGCTTCTCCCTCTCCCACTCCCCCTGCTTGTGTTCCTGCTCTCACTGTCTCTCTCTGTCAAATAAATAAATAAAATCTTTAAAAAAAAATGCCCTAATTTTGCTGTCCCTTTTGAGTAACGAGATCATTGCAGGTGTTTTATGCATTAAATTGTTCAATGAAAGAAGGCAAAAATGTATACATATATCTATATTTACCTCCTTCTTCTGTATGTCAAACTTAGACTATTATTAAAGGTGCCATTTTCAGCAAACCAAGCAACCAGTGTTAAAAGAACACGAAAGCTATTCAGTCACTATCTGAGCTGATAATGATATCCATTGTCTATTGCTTCCTATGATTTATTAGTACTGTTGCCAAGAGCAACAACGTGTCAAGAAATTCCATCCCTTAATGATACTATAAAATTTCTGTTAAAAGCATTTTATTAGGAAAGCCAACTCTTCTTTGTAAGCACAAGTTTTTTTTTAAAGAGGTTTTTTATTCCCCCTTCAACAAAGATCTACCATCGCTGGAGATAGAGTTTTCTAACAATCTTGTTCCAGTTTAAACATTAATGTGTAATATCTGTTAACCAGGTTAAGAGCTCTTGAAAATTTGTCCTTTTTTAAAACAACTGAAAGAACAGTTTCTAATTAAATAAAATAAGTAGGACACAGGAACTAAAAGCGGCTATATGTTTAATAAGCCTTTGTGTTCAGATCACATTGCTCATTCCACATGAATCACTCCAAATATAGCTGAGATGAGGGTATCGTTTGAATCCAAGTACCTATCACCACTTCTACAAGTCAGTGGTGGGTAATATCCATATAATGGAAACAATGAAAGCTAAAGAAAATTGGCATTACCTTTAATGATGTTGTCAATAGCAACCACCCAGAAAGGAGCATCGATTGTCCCAGACTGGAGTGGCACTTCTTGATTCCGCTTCTGGTTCTCCCATTTCCACAGCCACCTGGTGACACATCTCATCACCTGCCATCCACTGTTACTCATTTTCTCAGAATGTGGAAGAGACGACATTACAGTCCCATCCCATAGGGTACTGTAATGAAGGATCATATTCATAAAGCTGTTTGGATCGCTCCTGCTTCGACTTCAGACTAGGCGGGATATGTTGGGAGCTATGACTTCTGTCTTTGATCTCACTCACTTTCTGTAGGACCTAGCCCAAGTTATTTGACTTCTGCAAAGCTCATTTTCTTCTTTTATAAAATGAGGGGGTGGTATTCTGTGAAATACTGGTTCTAAAACTTCCATGATCTTATAATGGAAAAATACACATTTACTTCTGACATCTTGACTTCCCCACAGCACGTAAGTGCAAACTGATCCCAAAATGGGCTTCAGGACAATCAAATATTTTGCCCTTCAGATACACCTTATAAAATTTCTTATTTTAAAAATAGCAAAAGCACAAAGATAGAAAAATTGCATATAATGGCATTACTTGGTAAAATTATACATAAAATTTAAGTTTCCAAATGACCCCTCTAGTCTCACTTTGTTAGATAGCGTGTGGTGCATTGTCTTCCCCACTCCTTTCTGGCAACCACCTTATTAACAATGGACTTGGCAAGATCTGCTCTCACGATATGATGGCATTACCCACAGTTGTGCTCTACACACCTATGGCAACTTCACATTTCGTTACTTTTCCAAAATCCTTTGATGGGTCAAGTATCTCCACTCTGAAAAATTTTATTGTCCTCTTAAAAAAAAGTGTAAAGATACACAAAAACAAGGTTCTAACTTAGTACTTAGACAGTATGACAATGGACCAGTCCTTAGTTGATTTGTTGAACAGTAGGGGTAATCATGAGTAGAAAGAAAAAAAAAAAAACAAGAGAAGAGTTGAGAAAAGACTGTGTGAGGACATACCTTGAAACTCTCTTTGCAAGAAAGGATGAAAGCAGCCTCTCTGGGAGAGGTCTGTATCTGAAAAGCATATGAGATGCTTGACGTTTTTATTGTTCATTAAACATTAGTTTAATATGTCTTTACACTAATTAGTTTAATTAGTGTCTTCTGACCAAGAATTATTTGGCAAAGACAAGTCTACAGTGAAACGCGGAGTGGTTTGTTTCTTCACAAGGACATATACCGTTTTATGGGCAGCACTGAATTCTGTCTTTCTGGCTGGTTAGGTGATATGTATTTCCCGGGAGGAAAGAGTCATTAAACAAGGATGATAAATCAGTTGTGCTCCAGGAGCCCCATTATGAAAATTACCTTTAAGTTTGAGCCTTGAGGATTAATGGGTAAGCAAATTAATGTAACCTGTAGTACCTACAGGGGGAAGCTCTCTATTAATACGTTAAGTTAACCCGATGTTCCTCATCATCAGGGACTAAAGTGACCCAAAGCCTGGAGGAAAAATTTGTCAGGTTTTCACGGAGTTAGCAAACACTGCCCAACCGATTTCTGGAACATCCTTGCTCTTCTCCCACTCCACACTTTGCTCATAGTGTTCCCTCTATCTCATTTACTGCTACACACCCCTAAACCGCTTCCCCTCCTGGACCATCCTTACTCACTCTCAAAGTTTGGGCTCATAGATTCATTCCTTGTGCTTAGTTCTTACCTCCATCATCACCTCCACTTCTGGTCAGAATTAGTAGCTCTTTATTTGGTTTCTGAACCTTGCTGTTGACAAATCAGAGTCCTCCACAAGACTGTCTTCTTTTTTTTTTTTTTTTAAAGATTTTATTTATTTATTTGAGAGAGAGAATGAGAGACAGAGAGAGAGCACATGAGAGGGGGGAGGGTCAGAGGGAGAAGCAGACTCCCCGCTGAGCAGGGAGCCCGACGCGGGACTCGATCCCGGGACTCCAGGATCATGACCTGAGCCGAAGGCAGTCGCTTAACCAACTGAGCCACCCAGGCGCCCAGGACTGTCTTCTTAAGGCTGGAAACAGTGTCTAGAGTATCTGTGTTTTCTATCTGGGAGCCCAAGCATGGTGCCCAGCAAAGGAGAAGAGTCTAAAAATGTTTGTGAATTTAATGTAACCACAAGAACAATACGGAAACCTAGTGGGAGATAGTTTGCTTTAGAAACATACACAGACAGCCTTTATCAGGTAATCTTTTCTTTTCTAATCTTAGGTTCGAGTGACCTTGATCCTTCAATGATGTTGGACACTGGAGAGACCATTGATACAGGCTCTGATTATGAAGATCAGGTAATTAAAATCTAAAATTACCTCTCTATTTAAATATTTCAATTTTAGCCTTTGTAAATGTTTTATGAAAATTAGAATTATAAATCATTTTTAAGGTGTTTACAGATGATAGCATATTCCATGATAAATCATGCTAGCCTACAGCTTTTATTCACTCACTTTGGTCCTTCGGCCCCCCCCTTCCCCACAGTTCCAAAACAGCAACTAATTAAGGAAAAGTTTGTGGTTTACATTACATGAGAAGGAAATGAGGTTATGTGAGGTTCTCTTGTGCAAGAATTTGCCTGTGTCTCTCGATCCCTTTCTGACAATGAACTAACAGTATTTACTGAGTACTAGCTACAGGCTCAGGGTTCTGCTTTTCTATTTCTAACCTTTGAAAAGGACTAATGACCAATGACAACACAGCCAAGAAGTCAAGTCTATTTTCTATTTTAATAAAACCAGAGAAATTTATCTAGGTCATTTTCCTCTCAGCAGAAGAACTCTCCCTCCTGCTGTATTTTAATAATCCATAATAGCTGGCAAATGATCCAACTCTCTAATTAAGCATTTTGTTTAAAAAGAGGGTAATGTCTGAAATTTCCTTCTACTGCTCATCAGTTCTCCTCTTCAATGGCTGAAAGCCGAGAGAACATGAGGGTTTTTTCCCCACATCTTCAACTAATGTATGTCACAGATAAAGCAGATAGAGCAAACCAGTGTCCAGATGTAATAGTTGGCTATGCATTTCATATTCCTATCCAGAAACTATGGCTCAGTTGGTTAAGCGTCTATCTTTGGCTCAGGTCATGGTCCCAGGGTCCTGGGATCGAGTCCCACGTAAGGCTCTGCGCTCAGTGAGGGGAGTCTGCTTCTCCCTCTGCCTCTGTCCCTCCACCCTGCTGGTGCTCTCTCACGTGCATGCACTCTCACTCTCTCTCAAATAAATAAATAAAATCTTAAGAAAAAAAGAAGCTATTTTCATGAACATTAGGTTCTTTCTTTTATATTAAAAAGCATGGAGAAAAGCATGGAGAAAATATTGACAAGTGATATAATAGGTATTGTATATTTATAATATTTTTAGCATTTATAAACATTTAATAGATACCGATCATTGTGCCAAGTTCCTTAGTTTTCTTTTCTCACTAATTCCTTACAACATCTCTAGGAAATAGGAATTATTATCTTTATTTTATAGATAAGAAAATAAAGATTCAAAGAGTAATTTGCCCACAGTTAAACAAAAATGTTTCACAGTGGGGAAGGGAACTTAGGGCACATTTCCTCACATCTGCACCATACTGCCTTCTAACTCAGCCTCCAATGACAGGCCATTCAGTGATAGATTTTAGGAGCCCTTTCAGTTGCCAACTCCTAAGACCCTAGCAGGGGCAAATTCCAAACACCACTATTGAAGGGGAGTTCATGATCCAAAATTACAGACTGCGTAAAGATATGAACCATTACCAGATATCCAGCTGATTAAAAAATGGAAGGTTTCACACCCCAAGAACTAGAGAGAACAGAAAAGTCTGAAAGAAATTTCAATATAGAAATACTTAAAATATTCAAGAAGATAAAAGGAAGATAAACCATGAAACAAGTACAGAAAAAAGTGGGAGGGAAGAGGAAAAAAGGAAAAGGGAAGAAATAGAAATTCTAGACACAAAAAATATTGTCATTGAAATAAAAATTCCAGTAACAGTTTTGAATAGTAGACTAGACACAGCTGAAGAGGCTAAATGACAGAACTGAGGAAATTGCCTTAGAATAAACCAGAAAGCTAAACAGTTGTCAAATGTAAGAAACAACTCAGGAGTCCCTGAGGATAGATTGATTGGGCCGACATACTCAAAAAACAGTTCCAGGAGAAAATAGAGGGATGGGGCAGAGTCTCCCTTTTATTTATTCTTTGATTTATTTTATTATTTTAACAGATAATAGTTGAGAATTTTGCGGAGATGAGAAACAACACAAGTCCCCAGATTAAAGGAGCACATCCAGTTCTGAGCAGGATAAAAACAACAGAAACAAAACTCTTCCCTTATTCTTTTTTTCATTTAGTCATTTAACAAATACCAATTGAGCCCCTACTGTACGCCAGGTACTGTGTGGGTAGTTGAAATACGTAATTGTACAAAAGAGGCAAGAAGCTTACATTCTAGTAGAGAAGACAGATACTAAACAATCAACATGATAAATTAGTAAATTCTCTAGATGTCAGAAGTGGTAAGTCCTATGGGAAAAGGAAAAGTAGAGTAAGGTAGGAGGGTTAGGAATGCTGGGGTTGGGAACAGGTTATAGTATTAAATAGGATGGCTTCATTAAAGAGGAGCAATCTGGCAGAGACTTGGGCATAGAATGTAAAACATCAGAACACCGAAGACAAAAATAAAATATTCCAAGTCAAAAGGCATTACTTATAAAGGAACAGCAATTTTGGTGACAGTAGATTAAATAACAAGAGCTTGCATTTACTGAGAACCTGTTATAAGCCAGACACTGTGTTTTATGGTTTATGTGCATTATTGCTAACCCTTACAAAAACTCAAGAAGGTAGCTCCGTTTATCCCCAATTTACCGCAGAGGACATTGAAGCTCATGGAAGTTAAGACACTTCCCAAGATGACCCAGCTAGCGAGCTGTGGAGTCAGGAGACAGACTTTGATCGGCTTGGCACCAAAATCTAGTTTCTACTTTTACCGTTCCCAATAAAGGCGGTATCTGGGTCACTGGTGATCTAGTGCCAATTCCAGTTAACACTTTTTAGTTATCTTTCTTGACCTCTGCTACATTTTATTCACCAAACTTTTACTCTGAAGAGTCATGTGGTAAATACTTCAGGCTCTATGAGCCGAATGGCTTCTGTTGGGATTGTTGAGCAAAGGAAACCATAACAACACAGTAACAGAGGAGTATGCGGGGTCCCAGTAAAGCTTTATGTATTGATACTGAAACTTGAATTCCATATAATTCTCATGTGATTTATCTCAACTATTTAGAAATGTAAAACCCCTTTTAAACCGGAAGGTTGTACCCAAGCAGGCAGTGCAGTGGATTTGACCTGCAAGCTGAAGTTTGCTGACCCCAGCTGTAAACCATCCTCCCAGTCTTGACATTCTCCTCCCCCTTAGACTCTAACATTTCTAAATTATTTATTCTGTTCTAAATACTTCACATTCGTTACCTTATTTTACCCTCAATTATAGGAAATAGATATTATTACAATATTATTATTATATTTTATTAAAACATTTTATTTAAAATATATTTTATTATTACTTATTCTATTATTATTATTATAGTGTTATTCCAATAAGGAAACTGAGGTACAGAGAAATTAAGCAGTTTATTCAAAGTTACACAGCTGGCAAGAGGTAAAGACAGAATTCAAACACAGCCATCTGACTTCAGAGCCAGGATCAACAAAGATAGGCTAGGCTCTGCTGTAGTAACAAATAAAACTCAAAGTCGTATTGAATGGAGCACTGGGTGTTATACGCAAACAACGAATCATGGAAAACTACATAAAAAACTAATGATGTAATGTATGGTGATTAACGTAACATAATAAAATAAAATTTAAAAAAAAAACCCTCAAAATCTGAGCGCTTTCCTTCCAGAGGTTCTGTTACATGCAACCTCCAAAGGGATCATGGAAGGGAAGGCAAAGAGCCTGAGGAGGACGGACCTGCCCTTAATTGCACGTTACCTCTTCCAACATTCAGTGGGCAGCCGCAGTCAGTGGCGCTCTGCAAGTTCAGGGAGGCTGGGAAATGGAGCTTGCTTATGCATCCAGGAATGGAGAGATGAGTTTGGTGAACACTCAGTCAGCCTCAGCCACATATCTCTTGCCCTGCTCTGTGTTCACTCTCTCGGCGCTCCTCCTACTTGTCGGTCCACTGGTTCTTGGTGTCCTTGCTGAGCTGCTCTTTGCCGGTCCCTTCTTTAAATGTCAGTGCTCCCCAACATCCGTGGCCCCTTCAATCCTCACTGAACATGTTCCCCTTTAAAAAAAGTTCAACCACAGCCACGATCCACTTCACTCAGAGCTCCCAGGTGAGCTCCTGGTACATATGTCTGCCTGCTAAACAGCGCTGGTTGGATTTCCCATGTGCATCTCAAACTCAACACATCCAAAACCAAAATCACCATCTTCCCCCACAAAATCTGCTCGTCCTTCTGTTTTCTCTATTTCTGTTAAGGATACCTGCAGCCTACTAGCTGCCCAAGCCAGAGACTGGATGTCTTCATAGCCTGCTTCCATTCTCTCCCGTCCTACATCAGTTTGATCAAGAAGCCAGTCAGTTCTCCTGTGCAGAAATCGCTCCTTCCCACTCTGGTGCCAGCATCACTGCCCTGGCTGGCACCCTCAGGCTTCCTCCCTGGGATCACAGAGACAGTCTCCTAATCAATCTCCCTGCCCCAGCCTCCTCACCCATCCTAATCGTCTTGTTGAAAAACAAAGCCCAGTCATGGCATTCTACTTCTTAAAACCCTTTTTAGGGGTGCCTGGGTGGCTCAGTTGGTTAAGTATCTGCCTTCGGCTCAGGTCAGGATCCTGGGTCCTGGGATCGAGCCCCGCATCGGGCTCCCTGCTCAGCGGGAAGCCTGCTTCTCCCTCTCCCTCTGCCTGCCGCTCCCCCTGCTTGTGCTATCTCACTCTCTGTCAAATAAATAAATAAATAAAATCTTAAAAAAAAAAAAAACCAACTTTTTGGCTCCTCATTGATGTCAGAATGAAACTGAAAGAACCTTCAAATCAAAATCTGACCCCCTACATCCCTCCCAAAGTCATCCCTTGCCAATCACCAAAACACACTCAATGCTCCAGCTACACCAAGCCATCTTCAGTTCCCCCAAGTGGCTTGTGATTTACACAGTCCCTTTCCTCTATATGGAAGCTTCCACAACTGTATCATGCCTATCCCAGATAATCCCACTCATGCACCATCAGGACCAAGCTTCTTCTCAAGGAAGACCTCATCTTCTAACATGTTCAGTTCACCTTCTCG